GCAGGATATTAAATGGGCAGTGTGCCTATTTATATTGGCACGTCGCAGCATACCTGCCGTAGCGTTCAAGCCTGCTTTGATTGGCTATTAAGCCTCCTGCTAGAGCCCTGGAAGGATCCCAAGGCCAAAGGCTTTGAGGCATCTTTACCTGCCTGTGATTTTTTTTGCCGTGTGGGACTCGGGGGGCCACTGCCTTGCTGACACGCTCTGTGGCCATTCCCACAGTGCCTGAACTTGGGAAGGCAGAAAGCTGCTGCCTGCAGGCCAGAGCAGATGCTGCATTGCCCAGCTCCTCATTTACACCAGTTCAGAGTGAGTTCACGGCCAGGTGCTCTTTGCACAGGCTTAGATGACTGAACAAGGCACAGGGTGCTGGGGAATCATCCCAGGGACCTGCTGCCCAGCGGGGCCGAGTCCTAAGTCCAGCTGAATTGCAGGAGCTTGGTACTTCTGAGAATCAGGCCTCACTTCCTTGGGGCTCGATCGCCTTCCCCTTCACACATTTCCTTCCTTCTTTGCTCCATAATTCAAGCAAGGGCAATGCTTTAAATCCACAAAGGTGGGGCCAACCAGCCAGCCCTCCCACACCCAACGGCATGGACAAATATTTGGAAAAGCGGGGAAGAGTTAATAAAGACATAGCCCTAAAGGGCTCTCGCGGCTGTGGCTGGAAATGCAAAGTCTCCAGCCGTCCCCTAATGAGGAGACTCGAAGGGTTGGGCCGGGTGTATGAAACACCATGCGGTGGCTCCAAAGAGAAGGAGGGAAGAGTGAATGAAAGAATGGGGCTTGGAGCCTGCAGCTCCTGTGGTCTGTGCGACCTCTGTCACCAGTGGCTTCAGGCAAGTTATTTAACTTCTGTGCCTCAGTTTTCCCACCTGCAACACAGGACATTGTGAAACGTGACTGGTAGGTGCAAAATGCTTTAAAATCCTTGGATGAAATGGGCTAGAGAGGTTAGCCAAAGCCCTGGTCATCTAGGACGTGACACATGTCGCGGCACAACATTCAGAGCTATAGTGGAAGTAGAACTCAGCTCCGAAAGCATGAGCCCCGAATCACTGGAGCTCAAGGAGAATCTCCATCAACGTCTGTCAATATAGGGCATATGATACACAGTCAAGCAGTTCTGAATCTATCCAGTGGAGGGCAGTGGAAGCATATACACCATAGCCAGTGTTACTGTTATTAGAGATTGGCCTTGATTGCAAAGTTCAGCTCCAAACTTGCCCCGTTTCTGTTTCAGGCCTAGCTTACTATTAAGGACACATCAGCTGTGCCCATGTGGCTCCCTTTTCCTAGCAAAATATTATGAAGTATTATTTGTATTAGCATAGTGCCTCGAGCCCTCGTAGTGGACCAGACCCCCTTTGTGCTAGGTTCTGTACAAACCCAATCTTGGGTCCTTCCAGGTCATAGAAAAGCTGCCTTGCAGCAGTGATTTGAGGGAGACGGAGAACGAAGTGGCCAGGCCAAGGTCCAGGAAGGATTCTCATGAGCACCAGACCCTCCTGGGTCCCGTTCCATGTAGCTGCTGCTGTTTTGGTTACAAGAGACAGGTCAGAGGGCGAGGGCAGGAGGAAGTGGGGGGGGATGACAAACTAAACATGACTTCGCCTTTTATCCCTGTCACTGAAACAATATGCATCGACTTGTACAATCAAACTGCACGGTTCAGTGGAGCAAGACTCTCTGCCCATGTGCTCGTCTGGAGCAGAGCAGATGTGATGCAATTGTACCTTGGAGCCGGCTGTTCAAGGATGCTGCATGCAAATATACGAGAGGTAACACAGTCGTGTCTGAATGCCGGAGACTCAAAGAAGCTGCGTTATCGTGGAGGAGATGCCGTCACATCTCAGGGCTAAGGAGGGTACTGTGGTGATGCCCTCACAGTGTGCAGTTACAGTCTCTAGGCAAACACCCAAACACAAATTTTTCCCCGTGTGCTTCCCCTAGCCTGGCAAAACTACACGCCACCCTTTCCTCAAAGCTTGCTGTTAAACACACTCTTGCCCTAAAGCAGCACAGTGAACCATTCAAAAGCCAAGGCATGCTGCCTGTTTACCCTTAACTCTGCCCCTTGTGTGTGGGCAAGTTTCTAACCACGTGACATACTGCTAGATTTCAGCTCCCCTGGTGCTTTGAATGAGCCAGGGGTGTGAATGAGGTAGAACAGCAGGGAGGAAGGCAGATGCCCGCAGTGTGATTGCGGTCTCGCTACCCACCATGTACGAAAGAATCAATTCTGTGGAAATTAAATTCCCTCCTGATGACTTTTCATAAATAGAAACAATTGTTTGCATATCATTCTTTTGGTCAACGCTGGGCCACTCGTGCACCCACAGTGACCATTTGGGAGTCCATGCAACCGAAGAGGTCTGTGCGAGATGGTGAACTCTCTGTCTGTGTCTGTCTTTCCCAAGCTGCAAACTCCCATTTGCCTCCTCCATGTGTAAGTGGGTGGCAAGGGGCTAACAGGAAAGGGTCGCTGGGTTTAAGTGCTCATCCACTGGAATGTAAATGGCTTTAGAAAAAAGCCCCTGCTCAGAGGAACTGGTTGGTCACCTAACAACAAGATCAGCTGGCAAAACCTGCTGAGGCTGACAGAGGAACTGGAAGGCTGTAAAGGGTGGAAGCTGCTGCTTCTCTACCTTGGCCTTTTTTTCAACAGCGTACAAGGAGCTGCCCCGAGGAATGGGTGAGATGGAGTGAAAGGCAATGCGTGTAGGGTTTATTTTGATTTGGGTCTGTGCACTTCGTGTGTGAGGAAATAAAGAGCACTTCCAGCATTCTGTGTGCCATGCCGCAGTGTGTTACGTGTTACGCCTACCACGTGCCTTGGGAGAAAGCTGAACTGTGACCCAGAATGCTCATGCCTTTGGGTGGTGGTCAAAGAGGGTGTGTTTAAACTACTTGGGGTTCAGTGTTGGTCCTGGGGGCTGAGGCAGATGGGCTGAGGAGGGGCTCCATTCACTACACACCCTCCCACCTGGATACTGGAGGAGGCTGGGGTCCTGTGGAAATAATTGTATGCGATCATTCAATTAAAGACTGTAGTATAATGCATACACACCAGGGGGTGCAGTTAAGGTTATGTGAGCAACTTTAGCCTTGGTGTTTCCTGGCTTTGTTGAGCAATTAACTTTGCATGCTTAATGGTCTCCCGAAATCCGTTGACAGAGGAGCTACTTTTGTATGCAATTTTGCATTAATTTGCCTTACTTAATATTTATTAATCAGCGTTCAATGCAGCGCTGTAGATGTATAGGGTATATTACAAAACAAGCTGCATGGCTTGGCAGGCTGCTCACGGGACTCAGGGGTCTGATTTTCAAAGATCTCAGCTGCAGGCAGCTGCCCAGGGAGATTTTCAAAACTGCCGAACCTGTAGAGTAAGTTGGGAATTGTTTGATGAAATGACAGGTTTCAGAGAAGCAGCCGTGAAGCATCCGATGAAGTGGGCTGTAGCTCACGAAAGCTTATGCTCAAATCAATTTGTTAGTCTCTAAGGTGCCACAAGTCCTCCTTTTCTGTTTGGAGAAATGTTTTCCATCCAGAACCACTGATTCATGAGAACTGAGACTTTTTGCGGGAAAGCATTGGTTTTGACACATTTCTCAACTCGAAAAAAAAGAAAAAAAAAGGAAAAGTGAAAGGAAAAAACCAACAGAACGGCCCGTGGCTACATTTTCTGAATGAAACGTTTTGGTTTTCTGGTTTTAAATGTTTTTTTACTTAGACATGTCAGCGAATTTTAGTACAATATTTAAAAGGGGGTCAAAATCAAAATGAAATGTGTGGCAATTATCTAAATGAAACATTGATTGACACAAACCAATCCTCCCCCCCTACCCTGCCAAGATTTTTGCAAATGGTTTTGAGATTTTTGACTTTTCATCTTGAGTTGGGATGGGAAACGTTTTCTGAAATCTTAAACTTTTCCCAGGACTGGAAAACTGCTTCCCACCCAGCTCAGCAGGGTGGGAGATGAACTTGGGGGACTTTCCCTGATAGGCTGCCAGTTTGAATTCAGGTCAGTACGGATGGAACGTTATTAACAGAAGAGCAGCCATATTGGGTCCGACCAAAGGTCCATCCGGCCCAGTGTCCTGTCTTCCGACAGTGGCCAATGCCAGGTGCCCCGGAGGGAATGAACAGAACAGGGAACCATCAAGTGATCCATCCCCTGTCGCTCATTCCCAGCTTATGGCAAACACAGGCTAGGGACACCATCCCTCCCACCCTGGCTAATAGCCATTGATGGATCTATCCTCCAGGAACTTATCTAGTTCTTTTTTTTAAACTTTTTTTGCCATCTGAGGGCTGTTCCATGGTGTAGGGGAGAGGGACTGGGTGGGTTTCAGTTCAATCTTCAGCACAGCAGCTTCCTTCTCACAAACACCAGTACATCTGGCTTCGATTAGCCCACCCCACAGAGGCCTGCACTAGGCCGAGGGCTGAATGGGACCAAACCTCCCTTCCTGCCCCCCAGGGGCTAGCCTGTTAAGCCAGGCTTGGGTGCATGTTGTTGGAAATTGCGTGCGGATCGCTTGGTCTCTGAGCCCTATTTATTCTCGGTGTCTCCGGGGCTGTGAACCTGACCCCAAGGCCGCCAGGCCAAGATAAAATGTCCGGGGTTCCAATAATTCTGCGTCCTCCGGCTTTCGCCACAAAACCCAGGCACAGCAGAGTTGGACTAACCGCAGGGGGCGACTTCCTTTTCCCTGGCGGGGCGAGGGGGCTGGGGGCTTTACTCCGGGGCGGGGGGGGGGGGGCAAGGCATCCCTCCAGGTGGTGGGATGGAGCAGGAGGCGCTTGCAATGGCCACCCAGGGCTGAAAGCTTGTGTCCAAACGCCTGTATCCGCCTGCAAAACGCCCTGAGCATGGGGGGGAGGGGGGGACACACACCAGCCCCCCCCCCCCTCCGGCCCTCCCCTCCCACCTAGGAACCAGCGCCCCTCCCCCGCGGCACGGCTCCTTTAAGAATTAAACTCTTGGGCCGCCGCGATCGTGTCTGTTCCCCGGAAGAAAAGGGCCGCGCAAGGTGGGGACGGAGGAGGTGGCTCGCTCGGCCCCCGCCCCCGCCGGCTGGAGCCCGGGGACGCGCTCAGCGCCCAGCGCAGGGGCGACCGGAGGCTGCTGCTGCGGACCTCGCCCCGGGGGGGACCGGCCGGGAACGAGCCCGCCATGGCTCCGGGGGACCTGCAGCTTTGCCGCCGCAGCAGGGCTGGCCCCGGGCCCCGCCAGCAGCCGCCGCCCTGGGGGCGCCGGCTGGTGCGGCTCTGCCTGGTCTGGGGGGCTCTCTGCAGCCCGGGCGGCTCCGCCTTCAACCTGGACACCAAATTCTTGGTCCTGAAGCGGGGGGCGACCGAAGGCAGCTTCTTTGGCTTCTCGGTGGCGCTGCACCACCAGACGGACGGGCTGGACAGATACCTGTGAGTACCCAGCCGGCAAGCCTGCCCCCGATCCTAGCTCATGGGGATCCCCCCCCCCCCAGCTTAGGGGAAAGGCGTTGGTGGGATCAGCTCCCCCCCCCCCGGGTCATTCGCAGCCGGGGATCGTTGCTGGGGGGTCGCATTCGAGCAGCTGCTGTGGTGGGTGCAGCCCCCCTTCAGCCTGCTTTGCTTGCCCGCCCTGGCTTTGCTTGGGAGGAGAGGGCGGGGGGTGGGCTGTGAACTTGAAGTCTCGGCTGAAAGGCGATCCGCAGCGTTTTGGGGGGTGGAGGGGAGAGGGGGTGCCAACTTTGTAACTGCACGACTTTATTATTATTTATTTATTTGCCATTTGCACACACACCCCCCCCCACGCCTCCTCCAGCCTGTGGGTGCATGGGGCTGCCCTAGGGCCCAATCTTGCAAAGCAGGGGGGGGCTAACTTGACTCACTCCTCATTGAAATCCCTGGGTCACCATGAATAAAGTTTACACACCTGGGTAAGGTTTGCAGGATCAGCCTTAGCGAGCTGGCTGCAGGGGCATCCCTGGAGGCCAGCTGCCGATGCAGACCGGACCCTGTTCCTGTGTGACACAGTCAGCTTGGCCCTCCAGAAAGCTTTTCCCAGGGGTAAGGCAATGAACAGGAGCTGAAGTCCAACCTGCACCCTCCTAGCCCGAGAGGGTGAATAAGAGCTCTCCGGCTAATCTTGACACGTTCCCATTTTAACCCAGGCTGCCATGGGAGCAGCCCTGGGCCTTTACCGTGTTCGTCCCGGATCTCTCGGCAGAGGGAGGGTGGATAGAGCTTTTTAATGGTTTCCTCTGTGGTCCTTGCCCTGGAGTGTAACTGCAGCGCCATGAACCCTGAAAAATCCCTCCAGCGTCTCTGGAGATGGATGAATGGGTGAGAGGCTGGTGGCGAGGGGAGGAAAATTTCCCAGGGACCTGTTGAACATTCCTGTGATGCTTTACTAAACCCTTGCAAAAGAGCCTTTCAGTCAGTGGATTCTCTCTTGATTAACTAGCTCCCCCCTTACCCTGGACCCCCAGCTCTCTCGGAGAGCTCTATTTCGTGCTCTCAAAGGCCTGACTCCCTTATCCCTGTGTAAATCAGGACTGGCTGATTAGAGTCTGTGAGTCGGGGTCGTGGGAGAATCTAGCTGTAGTATTTTTGTACAGTCGTGGCCGCTTGATTGCCCTGCACCCATGGGTGCTGGAACTGCTGTCACACTCCCGGCTTGAAGTGGTTTCTGTTATATACAGGGTTTACAGTTTGGTTCAATGGCTCTCAGCACAAACTGTTCCAGCACCCCTGCCTGCACCTTGGGAGGGGGGGTCACCTTCCTCTTCAGCGTGTGGGTGACGCTCGCTCGCCAGGATTTCTGGGTGTATCTCACTTCATCAATTCCCTGCCGTTATGGGGGCCTCTGGCGCTGGTGCCCCTCTCTCCTTCCTAATCTCTGCCTGTCGTACATAACAGTCTAGGCTCCTGTATCATAGAATATCAGGGTTGGAAGGGACCTCAGGAGGTCATCTAGTCCAACCCCCTGCTCAAAGCAGGACCAATTCCCAATTAAATCATCCAACCGATTTTTGCCCCATATACCTAAATGGCCTCCTCAAGGGTTGAGCTCACAACCCTGGGTTTAGCAGGCCAATGCTCAAATCACTGAGCTATCCCTTGGTCTATCTTCAGTGGTTGGGTTTGGGGCGTGGATGCCGGGTGGTGGTGGCCTGTGGCAGACAGGAGGTCAGGCTAGATGACCCAGTCGGGTCCCCTCCACCCTTGAACTCTCCTGGTGGCCTTATGCTGTCATCGACACCAGTGCAAAATGCTCCCCTGATTCCGTAACGTGGCAGGGTCTTTTTGCGCCGGTGTAGATGTCGGCAGGAGGTGCGGGGCAGCGAGGAGTCAGGTTCCCCTGGCTTTTGAAGTTGGGAGCCAGCTGAAGGGTCTGTTTCCATTGCACCAAGCGGGGATTGGGTGCCCTGCGGAGAGCTCTCACTGCAGCAGCTGCATGGGCTGCAGGCATCCGCTGTGCATTCCAAAGATTCATTGGAAATGCTCTTGATGAAGTGTGGGATTTTTATTTTTTTTTTAAAGGGGGAGTGAAATGGTTTTTTTTCTCTCTCTCAAGAACAGCTGCTGGGGAGGAGGAGTGCACGGGTTGCGGGCTCCGTGCTGGGAAATGTTGGCTCACAAAGTGTGTTGGGGAAGCCTGGTGATTGCTGGGATCTACCCCGCTTGGGAGGGGTTGTTAGAGAGGAAGGCTGTCCCGGTGGTTGGGGCCCTAGCCTACGACTTGGGAGAGGTGGATTCAATTCCCTGCTCCGCCACAGACTTGCCTAGGTGGCACTGGGTGAGTCGCTGAGGTCTAGCTCCACAAAGGTATTTAGTCACCTCGCTCTGTTGTGGATCTGGGCCTTCGCCGCTCAGGACACTGATCCCTGCCCTGCCTCACCAGGGTGCTGGGAGAAGAAATCCATTAAGGACTGCGAGGGGGTGGGGGCAGGGGAGTACTGAGAAACAGCTAAAAGCCCAGAGGGATCGAGAGCGGAGCTAAAATCCAGACTCTTGCGAGGTTCTTCTCTGCCTCTATCCCCCTAGGAGTCCATATGCTGCCCATGATTCCATCACCCCAAATCCTCAGCCACACCCAAACCTTGGTGACTCGGGCCTTTTTGCGGATAAAGTGATGCACCGAAGCCAGATTCCAAAGCAGCCCCCTTTACGTGGCTCACCCAGGGTGAGGATTTGGAAGGTGGACACCGGAGCCTTCTCCACGTTCTGCTCCCAGAAGGTCCCATGGGAGTGGGCACTGAGGGCTCTGGAAGGACAGAGGTGTTGTAACTGGGGCTCTCCAGAGAAAGGCAGCAAGGAAAAGTCCGAAGGGCAACAGCTGCTTTTGCAACCCTGACCCTGGGGTTGAGCTTTTCTGTCTCACCTGTGTTAGCTTTGGGATAACAAGACTGAGCAGACTGCAGGCTAGAGGACGTGCTTGGGATGCAGAAGGGGCGGGCCAGTGGTGGCTGTTTGCACCCCATCTGCTGCATTGCACACTTAGCGAGGGATTTGTGAGTGCAGGCTGCTTTCCTGTGACGCGTCTGGTGTCAACCACGCTCCACTGGCCTAGCTGCGTTGGTCGTCTGACACGAACGCACTTCCCCCTTTACGTGAAGAAGCAAACGGGCCACCTGGGTCCTCTTCCCTAATGCTTGGATACAGACAGACCCTGTGGGTCTCTCTGGCTCCCAGCCTGCACTGCCCAATGGCACCACAGAGGGTCTCTTGAAATCCTGGCTTGGATTCAGTGGGCGTGGAAGGGACAGCTGGTTCTGCAGCTGGTGGGGCTGGGCTGCCAGGAGAGCAAGGTGGGAGAGAGCGCACTGGCTATCTGAATCATTAAGGAGCTGGATTTCCAAGTCATGTGCTCAGCAGGAACATACAATCACCAGGCCAGATCAGACCAGTGGTCCACCTAGTCCAATTATCTGTCTCTGACCATGGTTAGCACCTGCTGCTGCTTCAGAGGATGAAACAGTATAATGGATAATTATGGAACAACCTGTCCATAAGGGAAGTTTCTTCCTGACCCCTGTCAGTTTGCAGCCAGCTTATGCCTTGAAGCGTGAGTATTATGGCTCTGATCCAGCAAAACACTTAAACATATGTATGCTTCTTAGCTCAACTCATGTCAATGAGACAACTCGCGTTACTTAACGTTTCACCTGTGTTTTAAGTGGTTTGCTGGATTGGGGCCTGTACTAAGATGTGCTTTCATCCACTTGCATTTCATCTCTTGAATTTCATCTGCTGTCCTCTCTTCCTTTTGTTGGGGAAGAGGGAAAGGAGAACTGACAGGCATTTTCTGCAGCAGGCATTATTTTTGACGCTGCTGCCATGTCTCTTCTATTCCCACATTAAATAGCTCTCGGGGAAACTTTTCCAAAGCGCCCAAGTAACTTGGGAACTAATTTTAAAAGGGACATTGGTGTTTAGAACCCTGATGTTTCACTGACCCTGTGAGTGCAGCGGTAAGCTCACTTTTGAAAGGGACTTTCATAGATTCCAAGGCCAGGATGGACCAGTGTGATCATCGGCTGACCACCTGTAGAGCACAGGCCGGAGAACTTTCCCAAAATCATTCCTACAGCAGATCTTTGAGGAAAAACATCCAATCTGGATTTAAAAATGGTCAGTGATGGAGAATCTACCATGGCTGACCCTGGGTAAGTTGTTCCAGTGGCTAATTGCTCTCACTTAATTATGCCTTATTTCCAGTCTGAATTTGTCTAGCTTCAGCTTCCAGTCACTGGTGTGTTGTACCTTTCTCTGCTGGAGTGCAGAGCCCGTTGTTAAATGTTTGTTCCCCAAGGGCCCAAGTCACTTCAGGCACTCTGGAAAATGTTACTTTTCACCTTTTCAGTCTCTTCTTTGACCAGTTCAGCTGCCTATCGCTGGACCGCTTTGGTTTCTGAGTCGCCTTGTGGTTAAAGCACTGGGCTGGCATCCAGGACTCCTCGGTTCTCTTTCTAACCGTGCCACCGAGCTGCTGGGTGACCCTAGGTAACTCACCTCGGCCTGTGTTTGCAAGCGTGTTCACCAAGTCTGGTTGTGTCCACTTCTGGGCGCCCGCTCTGAGACATTTAAGAGCTGGATTTTCAGAGGTGCTGGGCACCCCCAGTTGCAGCTGAAGTCAACGGGAGCTCCAGGAGCTGAGCCGCTCTGGAGATCAGGCCTTAAGCATCCCAAGCTGGGCGCCCAGAGGTAAGAGGCTACTTCAGCAAATCAGGCCCTTGTTTCCCCTGCCCAGAGTGGGGGGTGTCTCACTGACCCTGAGCGTGCCTCAAGCCCTGCCTTGAAAGACTAGATTGGGCAGCAGCAAGGGTAGGTCCTTCCCTGTACCCAGCTGCATAGGATACAGGGGGGGTTGCTCCTGTGAGCGCTAGGCCAGTAATGTGTGGGGAAGGGCCTGTCTCTCAGGGAATGCGTATCTGGAC